GGCGCCCCTGCCGGGGGGGATCCCCGCGGGGCCGCGCGCCCGTTCTGCTTTCTGACCCGCGCGAGCGCCTGACGACCTTGCCGAGGCCACGCAGGCGCGGCGACGCCGAGCGCGCGGCACCGCTGAATTACCTCGTCGGCTTTCCAACACGGTTCACTTGTATAAAATTGTAATGTCAAATTGTTTACAGGTTATTTTGTGCGTAATTGTGGGGAAAAAACAGTTTTAACTACAAATTTAAGGGAATCAATTTTACTGGAAGGTGTTTTAAAAAATGAATATGCTTAATACAGTATCGACATCATTGATTATGGTCTCACATGAATGCATGTATCTCCGTGTCGTCAGTCCCCACCAGTGAGGTTATTGGCAATATTCTGCGGTCTGTGAATAGCAAATATGCATAAAGTACTGTGACGCTGACAAATATAACTCAGTAACTGTTTCTACTGTGGTATGTTAAAAAAAAAAATGTAGCTTTTAGCCTGCTGTATTTCCCTGGTACAAATAAGACCCTGAAAGAAAGAGACACTTTGGAAAGCACAAACAAGTGGCACCCGGGAGCTGAGCGCGGTCCGTCGCCGAAGGGCACCGCCAGCTAGCCGTGGGCCGGCTGCTAAGACAAAACCGCCTATTTAGGGAGGCGCTGAGGTGGGAAATGCAACTCCCGCTAGTGCCGTTCTGCTCTAGCTTCACTGCGGGCGCAAGAACTGACCTTTGGTTTAGAATCACGATAAATGGAGAGCAACTACATGTGCAGAGTTTGTGTGTCTGGTTTGGGCGTTAGACGCGGCTCTAGCGTGACGCACAGCCATCAGTAGCGTGGCACTGGGTGGCTGAAAAGTGCAACAACTAATGTGTGTCTCACCAGTCAAAAAAAAAACAAAAAAACAGGGCATATACACTGTAAGAGCACAGACAAGAATAAATAAGTTGATATCCTTCAACTGTCATATATATACACACATAAATACATGTATAGACACATACAGGCTTACTCGCCCACTGAGGCTTAGCTTCAGTTCATGTTAACCAGTTCCTTGCAGACTAGAGGTAATTCTCCCTTGAAGTTT